ATAGGAAAGTTGAGATTACATTTTGTATTTAAATTTGATTCTGTGTTTTCTTATAACAGATGTCAGGGGGAAAGACAAGTCTTTCAGCACTTCTGTGGAGGTGTTCTGCATCTTTACATTTCAATACTTGCTTTCTTTAAGATGATAAACAATCATGAACAGAACTACTGTGGTTTGCACTTTGATCAGGAAAATATCAGTGTGGCAGGTATGAGGAAAACAAACACCAGTGATTAATCTGTCCTCATCACTCCTGTAAGAGCAATTTGTGCAGACTCCATCCTGAGAAATGTTCAAATACTATTGGCACAAGTCCCTCTAAAAATCCTCAGACACGTTTCCCTTCCTTGGATAGAACAGAAGAGATCAGTGACAAAACAGAAGGGCTATAGCTACCCATAATATATTAATTTTTGCAATTACATGCACACAAAGTCTTTTCCCTGCTGGAAGATGTAAATGGGATCATTTATTTCTCCTCATCTTTAGCATGGCACCTTCCCCTAAAGTGACAGAGCACAAACTGTTCCTACATCAGTGAGCAGTTCCTATCCTTCTATTTGATACATTGCTACCTTGTGTTTATCATAGTAAAAGTCCTGAAATTTGAATTTTGCTCCCATCACACTCATTGTAGTGGATAAAGACCTGGGACACTCCCATCTGCTTGAATAAGATCACTCAAGCAGTAAGCTGCTCTCCAGCTTGGTTAAGCTGGAAAGATCTGACCTCAGAATGGGCCAATAAAGTTTGGAAACTGTTTGAAACTGCTAGAAGACCAGAATGTTTTCTCCAGTAGATGACTCAGTATTTTTATTCTCAGACAGAATGGGGACTAGAGAAAAGCTCTATTCAGGAAAGCCGTACTGAAAACCTTTTCAAAGCACAGAGGTCAGTAAACAGCACAGAAACTCAGTTGCAATGGCCTTGCAGGAGAGTCAGTTATCTGCTAATCTACTGGTTTAAAAATATCTACAAGTGGAAACAATTTTTAGTGATGGGGATGATTTGCTTGATCTTGACTAAAAACCACGAGTCCATAGAAAAGCCAAATTGAATTGCTCTTGGTGGGAGATCTTTCTGATGAAAGGTAGATGTAATTTGGGGCTGTTTGTAAACAAAAACCAAGATGTTCATTAATGTATATGATTTCCAAAACTCATGGTGAATTAAAAACAAACCAAGTAGAAGACAATCTGAAAAGTCAAACTGATTTCATATACAAAAGCTTTTTGGTGTATGCTTTGTACGACGCTTATGGATATGACTTGCATAATGTTTTATCACATTTAGAGAAAAAAGAAAAAAGTATATTGAACTCTGCATTTACTTTTATTAATTTGAGGGTTTATATCTGAAAATAAGGAAGGTTTATACACTGGGTTTTCACATTTTCAGTCATGCTGTTCACTGACGTTTGTCAGGGGTTTCCTTGGAAACAAGCTGAACAATTTATCCCAAGCTCCAGCTCTGCATCTAATGCAAAGAATCAGCCATACAAATTGGGAGGAGAGTAGGGATTTCAATCAGCATTTGGTCCTTCCTATAGTTTACCTGACTCTGAAGCAGATAAATGAAGTAGCAAGTTGCTCTTTTTCCTTCCCGGATATTTAAACCACCTATCTGAAATGGCACGTTTTCTGGGAATGTTTAGCAGAGCCTGACAGTTAGAGGCACTGAGGTTTCCTAAACCCATGAAAAATCAGAGGGATGGAAAGCACTCAGCCCTGAGGACTTGGTCTTCTGTAGCCAGTCTCGTGCTCTGCAGGGTGGAGTTCAGGCTCAAAGTTTTTACTGTCAACCAAAGGAGAGCCATGTGTATGAATGGAAATGTTTTCTAAGCATAGCCAGGTCAAATATTCACCTTTTACTATGCCTGACAGCATACATAACTTTTTCCTTCTGTTGCTGATAACGAGATGTAGACTAAAGTCTCTATACAACAGTAAGTGATTTTGGAAGGATACTAACCAAGCCTTTAAAAACAACAACAACAACAACAACAACAACAACCCAACAATTTGGCCCTTGGACACTTGATTCTGATTACTAGATACTGATTCAGCCACTTTAAATATGCCAGGTCTTTATTGCTCTCAATGTGTGGGTCCTCAATTTTTTCTATGCGTGAGTTTTCCAACTCAGTTTTGACTTGGAAGATAGTAATAAATGCTCCTACTACCTGGTGAGTATTTAAGAAACTAGACTAATGGCACAGTGATGTCAAAGTTTTATTTTTCAGAAAGAGGGGAAGTCCAGCGCTTCGTCTGGACACAGGCCAATGGTTGTTCAGAACCAAATCACCAATTTCTGATCACCTGCTCGTTTGTGCTTGGCTGTATCACATCTTGTGTGTTACTAGAAATGAACATCACTTATGCATGCTATCTAAATATGTTAATTATCTTTGGCTGAACTTCCAGTTCTTATTTTGGGTGGATATATTTTTCATATCTTAGTCTATTAACTTCAATAAAATCTTGGAATATTGAAGATCAGAATTTTAATAGTTGTACTGGTTTGATCACATAGCTTATCTCTTTCTTGAGAGATGAATTCTCATTGTCTCCTCCAAAGACTGAATTGGGAATTTAATTTCTGTACAAAGCCTTGTTTGCTGAGCATATCCTTGTCAGGGAGCTCTGTTTTGGAACATTTGAGAACATGTTTTGGGTTTGATGGTGTTCCCACACTGTGTCTAATAAATGGATTTAAGGTGAGGTTTTTTTCAGTGTTAGCCTTGCTATAGTTTTACCACCTTTAAGGTATAGTTATTTGGGATATTCCTGCAAGAGGAAAACCCTTTAAGCTTAGATCTTCAGTCAGAAAAGTAAAACTTAAATATATATTTTTAATGGGTTCTTTAAAAGAGACAAATACAACAAATACAATATTCATTATTCCAGACTTTCTTATCTGTTTTCTAGTCAGACCAATGCTTACTACTTTTCCCAGACTACTGGGACTCCTCTGCAATAAAGTTCTGAAGTAATTCTTAAATGCCGTGTTCTGTTTACTTCCAGTAGTTATCAGCTGACATGTACTGCCCTTTAGCAGTGTTTTATGCAAGTGCTTAATCAAGCATTTGGTTTGTGGTGCTTTGTTTTGTATTTTTATTTTGATTCTTGATTTTTGGAAGCTTGCATGAACTCATCTGTTCTTCGGTGCCTACCCCAATGAGGCAGTGAGTCAATGTGCACTCACTTCATTAGATGAGCAGCACAAACTGAGAGGCACTCAGCTCGCTGGCTCAAGCTCTAAAAAAATAAGCCATATTATCAGGGTTTTATTTTGTCAGTTCATGTAAAATGTATGAGTGCTGTACTCTTGCAAAAGCCTGAATGCCAAAGAGAATTCTCTGATAGAGCTCTGATAAAACTCCTCATTGATTGCTGATTGACTGAAGGATATAGAATATTCATCTTCCCCCATGGGATCTCATTGAATACTTTCTGCTAAAATTTTTAAGTCCCTGATGGCTTGCTTTGCAGTGACTAGCCCTGTGTGAGGGGCTAGGGCTGGATTTGGAGGATCTTGATTCACCTCCTTCCTGCATTTAGGTTTTGCCTCACCTTTTGAAATTTTTCCATCTTGCAAAGAACATTTAACTACAAGACAGCCAAGGAAAAAGCATATTATTTAAATGCATATTAACTTCCAGCTTGCAACTGATCATGAATGGTGTTCTCCAGGGGTAGGTATTGGGGCCTGTCCTGTTCAATAGCTTTATTAATGGCATGGATGAAAGGACTGAATGTACACTCAGTAAGTTTGCAGATAACACCAAGTTGGGAAGAAGTGCCTATCTGCCTGGAGATAAGAAGGCCCTATAGTAAGATCTGGACAGGCTGGATCACTGGGATGAGACCACTGGGATCAAGTTCAACCTGACCAAGTACTGGGTCCTGCCTCAACAACCCCAGGTAATGCTACAGGCTTGAGGCAGGGTGGCTGGAAGATTGTGTAGAAGAAACAGACCTGAGGGTGTTCATTGACAGTTGGCTAAATGTGAGCCAGCAGTACTCCCAAGTGGCCAAGACAATGGAATCCTGGCTTGTACCAGAACTGGAGTTACCAGCAGGAGCAGGGAAGTGACATTCCTTCTGTACTCAGCACTGGTAAGGCCACACCTCAAGTACTGTGTTCAGTTTTGGGGCCCTCACTACATTGATGCCATGTGGAGTGTGCCCAGAGAAGGGCAGTGAAACTGGTGAGGAGTCTGGAGCACAACTCTTACGGAGAGTGGCTAAGAGATCTGTGATTTTTCAGTCTGGAGAAGAGGAGGCTCAGGGGAGACCTTATCGCTCTCTACAACTGCCTGAGGTTGTGGTGAGGTGGGAGTTGCCCTCTTTCACATAACCAGCGATAGGAGAAGAGGGAATGACCTGAAGTTGTGCTGTAGGAGGCTCAGATTGGATACTATGAAAAGTTTCTTCTTCGGAAGAGCATTCAGGTGCTGGAATGGGCTGCCCAGGGAGAGGGTTCAGTTGCCATGCCTGGAGGCATTCAAGAAACATTTAGATGTTGTACTAAGGGGCAAGGTTTAGTGTGTAAATATTGGTGGTAGGTAGACAATTGGACTAGATGATCTCGGAGGTCTTTTCCAACCTTATTGATTCTGTGATTCTAAACTCTTTATGAATGATCAAACACCTGTCTGAGAGGTGAGCATGAGCAGGTGTGACTGCAGTGAATTGAGCTGCTACAGGCATTTAAAATCTTTTTAAACTGTGCTGGGATCCACCTTTAACAATAACACAAATCTGACGACTGTGCACATCTACTGCCTTAATGGCAGTCAGTAGTATAGTTTGCTATTTGAATTTTTTACTCACATTTTCTACTTCAAAAACTTGAATTATTTCTTTAAATTCAGACTATTTTCAAAACTTGATAATACTTTCACACATTTAGCATGAGATATGGGATCCTCTCTGAGTACTACAATATGAAGAACATCGTTCCCATCAATCACAAAGACAATTTTGATTGATTCAAACTTTACAGCTGGTATACTTGACCATTTTGGCAAGCCTTTTCCTCGTGGACTTTTTCTACAAAAACAAGTATATTTGGAAGAAATTAAATACGAGTTAGCAACTTTGTCTCATTATAAATATATTGGACACACGTTCGAATATAAAAAAATATTTACAGTTTTTACTTACTTTCTTTGTTTTGTCCATTGCTTTCAGTATAGTAATGTTTAATTCCTCCAAAACAGAGAGAACATTTTCATACTCTCCTAAGTGCTGTGAAAAATATTCTGAAAGAAGAAGAAAATCCAAATCACCACTAAAGCTATCTAAATATATAAAATGATAAAGGCTTACAATGAAAGGGATGATTTTACTTTGAAATTTTGATAATATTTTCCTCAAAACCATTAATGAAATATTCAAAATGCCAAAATTGGTGTTTCAGAACATTTCCTCTCAGTAAGTAATGCCAAGTCAACAAGAAGCAGACATATTTTCAAAATACATACATCTTATGTCTTAAATGAATTTTCAGTATTTGCTTCATAGTTATTATCAGGAAATGAAGTTTTCATGTATATGTACTAAAGCTGATTATAATCATACACAAACAAATAACTGTTATAAAACCTGTAGGGGAGATGAAATCAAGTAAGGGCTGTTTTAAGTTGGGTTCAGCTGAGACCCAATGTTTTTCTGAGAAGTAATGCAACCATGAGTTGCTCAGTTATGCTTCTGAAACCAGGAACTGCAATTATATTTTCAATAAATATGATACATCCAAGGTATTTTTAACAAAAATAGTGAAAATAACATTGTGTATGCCTGTTCTTTCTGTTAAAATATCTTTTAAATTGAACCAATATCAAATCAGATGGCATTTTTCAAAGTAAGTCAAGCATAGAACAGAAATAAATCTGTAAAAATTGTATTTACTAATTTTCTACGTATACTTGAGTCTGGATAAAATTCCATTAAAGTCAATACCATTATCACTGTATCAACAGGCTGTAGAGATTCTGCTGCATAAACTATGAGCTCTCACAAAGGCACAAAGACACAAAGGAAATCTGACCAACGTTCATGAGTTTCCCAGGGGAGTCATGAAAGATTTCAGGAGCCTGGTGACAAAGCCTGGTATTGTTGAGAGACTGAATGAAATGATTTAGAAAGAAAACATGTTGTGCATTCATGCCCTGGAAATGAAACTTAATTTCTGAGGAGCTATGGAAATAAGTCAGAGGAAGCTGTAGACTAAATGCATGTTGGGTAAACTCAGCACCAGATTCACAAATGAGAAACACCCCTGAGGCAATCTGTGAAAGACTTACAAAGGAGTTGCAGAATTCAGGTATCATGAGGAATGCTGAAGCTGCCCATATTTAATCAAAATGGACAGAAAAAAAATCAGCACTCAGCTGAGACCTTGGCCAGCTCTCTGGCTGACCGGTGGGCTCGGCTTGTGGGGTGAGCACTGAGCAGGCCTACAGTGCACAAACCACCCCAAAAGCTGTGTATTGCTCCTAGAACAAAGCCCCATTCTTCCTTGGCCAGGTTGGTATAGTTTTGGCCAGATTCGGAGCTAGCAGAAGTCATTGCAGCACAACTCACTTTTGCTAAGTCACTAAATATTTATGTACCACATGCTGAGATGCCCCTCAATGGGTTCCTGAGCACAAGCAGAGTCACCTTTTAGGCAGATACATCAACTGGCACTCAAATTTACAGTGTTTTCAACTTTTAAAAGTCTTCAGCATCACTGATTTTCACTGGGAAAATTCAATAGGCCGCTGTTTGCTGATATCTTTTCCCAGAAATAGCCTGCTTTTGACAAGCATAACTATCTGTTTGACACATCCTGTGGGAGGACTTAAAGAAATTTTCTGTAAATACTTTCTACTGCAAACAGCACCCCTAAGTCATGGAAAAAATCTTCATGACTCACAGCCAGGAGCAGGACACAGGTAGGTCAGTGGGCCACGGTGGGGCCTTGCAGGAGGTTTTTGTGATGAAGAACAACAGAATGTGTCAAACTGCTGTTCATACAGAACTGAGTTGGAGGCAAATAATGTACTGTCCTCCAGAGGGATATGAAAATGTTTTTCAGAATTTCCCAAACACTCCTACCTTTGAAAACAATGAACTAGAAAAGTGTCCCATAGGAAAGGCAATCAAAATAAGATCTCTTCACTAGAACAAAGTTCTTAAAGCTCAGACAGTCTGAAGCATGGATTAAGAAAAATATTTTCAAAGCAATATCGGTATCGAATGGATTACTGTCTGAAAGATTATAAGCCATCTGCATTCTTCAAGTGTAGTTTTTCAATATAATTTACATATTTTCTGTTTGAGCCACAAAGGTTAAACTGAAAGAAATATCATAACACACAGTATGTTCACTTGCACAGGACTGCCGTAGGCAGAGATTATCTTCTTGCTTAATGAGGAACTTACCACAAAGTTCTTCCGTGTCAAGATTGCTGGAAAGATAAGAGGATAGTGGGTTAGTGAGCTCAGTCGTGGTGGCTGTTGCACTGGTAGATAGCAGGACTCAAAGATCAGTTTTGACAGGGTTGTGAAGCTCCCCTGCCTGGGCTTTAGCTTGGCCCTTGCTGCCTTGTGTAGGCACCTCCTGAGCCATGCTGCAGCCTTTTTGCCCCACAGCCTCCCTTCCCCATCACGTTCCCTCCTCTTCAAGACATGGCACCTTCCTGCTCACCAACAACACCTGTCCAGTCCCTGAGCATTATGCTGTGGAGTCTCAGAGCTGTCAGAAATCCACTTTAACACCAGAATTTGTGCTTTTTTTTCCCCCTACCTGCACTCCTTTTATGTGGCTGTCATGCTGGACAGCATGGCTCTGCTTAGCCCTCCATGCTAAACAACAGAAAACCCAATGTTGTCTTCCATTGGTGTTTCTCCCACAAGATGAAGTACAACAGAAAGACAAAACCAGAGATAGATTATGTGTGCTGAGAAGCTGTAAGTCTTTCTGGTCATACAAAACAGTTTCACCAACAAAATTAGTGACGTGACAATAATAGTTGCATTGCCACATTGTCATGAAATGCACATAGTATAAGCACATGAAGGTAAGCAAATATTCTTTAAAACTGAAATCTGTTTATTTCAAACAGATGTCATCCAGATAAACTTTTAAGCATTCTTTTCTCTCTGAGGCTTTAAGAATCAAAAGAGAAACCATTTGAGCTGCAGCTCAGTTCTGAAGGTTGGCATATTGACTTTTCTCAGGGAGGAGAAGCTGATTATTAAACTTAAAAGCATGAATGTCCTTCTTGAATCTTGCTGATGGGTGAATACTGAATGGCTAATTGCAGTTAGGATTTTTTCACTTATCTTTTTAATGGGATTTTTTAATTGACTTCTTAATAAAATTATTAAACAGTATTACCTTCAAGTCATTTTTACAAATGCTAACTTTCTGACTGTTCTTTATGAGAGAGACAGAAATAGGCAGAAATTTCAGGATCCTGAATTCTCAAAAATGTGCATAATCAGCGCTCTGGTCTGAGCATTTTTAACTGATAATGTAAATGAAGCTTTACTGAAACTTTCATTAACTAAAGGTGACCTGAACTGCATTTGAATGGACCAAGCAGGATGGCTGCACTGGGGAAATTCATAGCCTGAAGAATTAGTGCTGAGAAACTTAACCTAGATCAGTAAACTGTTTGATGGGAGTCTTGTCTATGAATACATAAGGCTGTTCACCATGGATCACTCTGACATCACTGCTTAACCATGGCTGATCTCCTTGCAACCACTTCTACAGTCAGCAGTCATTTTTGAAACACTGCAGATGTTCGCTCCCCAAATGCAGACTGAGATCTGACAAATGACCTCAGCCAAAAAGCAGCAACAAAATGCCAGAATATTACATGGCAGGAGGTTGCTGCTCTGATGCCTTGCCTCTTGCTTATTTTCCCTACATTTTCTGCCCCTTCACATCTTCTGTGCTAATGCCTTCTATTTGAAAACGTTTTTGTACTTTTCAATTTACATCTTGATAACTGTGGTTAAAAAAAAAAAGCCTGTAATATTGGAAGCCAGTCAAATTTCCTTGATGTTTTCAAATCTCACATTAAAATTCCTTCTGGTCCCTGTTCTTCATCACCATCCTCAGCAGTGTGGTACTAATAGAGCACTATGACATGGCTCAGAGGATTCCAGCATCAGAACATCTGCATTAGTCTCACTAATAAAGGTGATGCAGTTGCAAATGGACTAAAATTGAGAATGGAAAAGTATTTAGATGCTGCATTTATTTTCAATCAGAATTTGGCACTTGAATAATTAAGTAATTAGAAAATTACTGTCTGAAGTGATTTGTGCAACAACACTCAAGAAGCCTGTGACAGAATATGAAAAAAAGAATATGGATTTCATTGAGCATCCTCATGGTATTTCCTTTTCTGTTATAAACATCTTTTGAGGCTCCATTGTTCTTGGTGCACTGCTGGGAGGGGATGCTATTCTAGGCAGAACATTGTAATTTTTCGTGTCACTGATTATTTCATGCTCTCAGAAATATAACGTTTCATCATACAACATGGCTGTCAGCAAACCTGGTGTTCTTTTTCTGCACACAAACAATTTTGAGCAACCTTAAGGATGCTACAGGAGCAATTAAAGAAGTTTGAAATATATTTAACAGTAGAGGAGCGAGGCACACACCAAGGGGCTGTTTGTGCAGCTTGGTACTTGGGTTTACGGTGGGCACCTGTTCATCCTTTCAGTGTGTACATACACCAAAGATGCTTCTGCTCAGACCTATAATCTAACTGCACTGAACGTGTAATTTGCAATATTTGCAGGATGACGCACATCCAGGCTCAGGCGCTCTGCTCCTGGTAAGTGCCCAAAGGATGGGGTGTAGCCAAATGTATTCACATCACATCAGCACAATCATTTTTTAAACCTCTGCTCTCTGTTTACTTTCTGACTACTAAATGCCATCCTTTTCCATGCCTGACTACGTCTACAATGCTCTCTAGCTAATAACATGAGCAATTTTTAAAGGTCTACTGCAAATATGCTACTGTCTGATAAAAAAAAAAAAAAAAAAAAAAAAGGTATTATCTGTTGTTCAGTGACAGACATATAGGCAAATTCATTTGGCCAAAGTGACTGTGGTATAGAATGGAGGCATGTGAAGCAGCTGTGACAGCTCCCTGGTTCTGCACACCACTGTTAGCCATGGGCTGGGGCTGGCCAAAGCAGGAAGGTAGAAGTCATTCCACCTCTCCACTGATGGGCAGTGACATCTCTTCAGCAAAGGAATAACATACAATGTGGACTCTCTTCATCTACAACAGTTATTTTATTGAAGAACACAATACTATGGTTAAGATTTAATGAACTAAATTCATTTAGGATATCCACTGGCACTACAATTGTAACTGAAGAAGGATAGTGTGTCAGGTCTCCATTCTCAGGACTCAGAAGGATTGATTTCAAAGGCTTGAACCAACACTTTTATTGTGCCCATTTGCACATCTCTGATAAATTTGGTTTCAGGGAGGAAAGCTCAAGGCTGGCATCTCCTGTTGTTAAGCAGAAGCATATAATTTGTGAATGAAAGGAATGTCATGATACACTGTGCAAGGGCAGCTGAATAGTCATCTGTGGATGTTCTCAGCCAAAAAGCTGTGAGCTCTTTGCAGCAAGCTTGCATAACATCCCACTTCAAGTCAGCCAAATGAGACACATGCTCCAACACTACAGAGAGTGTTGTGTCAAGGAGACTTAGAATATGTGCACTTGCATTTTAAGGACATTCTGCTTCATATCTCCTTTGCAACAGCAATGAGCTTTTTTGCTCAGGTTTGTTCGAAGTTTCTTACAATTGGAGGCAAACCTGCTTTCTGCTATTAATGAGATCATAGAATCATAGAATCAGTAAGTTTGGAAAAGACTACTAAGACCACTTAGTCCAATCACAGGCCCTTCCCCACCGTGCCCACTGCCCACATCCCCAGTGCCACATCTACCCTTTTCTTCAACACCTCCAGGGATGATGACTCCACCGCTTCCCTGGCAGCCTGTCCCAGTGCATTACACTCTTTCAACAGAAAAGGGAGGGGAGAAAAAGAGGGCAAAATGAAACAAGGCTCAGTGGCCAACCCCTGGAAAGTCAAACTTCTTGCTTCCCCAAACACATTACTGCTTCAGCCCCAGGGCTAACTGGACCACACATCATCTGGTCTCTCAAATACAGATGGCTTTTGCAGCTCTGAGATGGGCAGTGGGGCTGTGGGCTGTTTTACTGTCCCAGATTTTGCTGCACTAAATAACTGTACACCTTGCTTACGGTTAACTTCAGACCAAGCTAAACTTCAAACCAAGTGTTGTCACTTATTGCTCTGCATGTGGCAAGGACAGAGGAGAGAGTAAATGATTTTTCCTGCCAGCAACTTCCCCCAAAAACCACCCTTGCCCTTCTCATTAGGCAAGGATACAATGAATTTCATGGATGGCTGGCCACCTTAATGACCTCAGCTATGCCTGTGTTTCTAAATGTGCTTTAATAATGCTATTAAAAGTTGTGGATGCTAAAATCTCTGGAGAACAGAGCAGTGGCTGCAGAACCATTTGCTAGCAGATTCTGAATCACATCAGCCTAAACAAGGAGACAAAAGTCAACATCATGATGGCTCTTTTGCCATGGGTGGGATACATTTCAGGGTTTTCACCCTTCAGGAGATGATAATGATGTTTCAACTTTGGAGTTCACTCCAAAACAATTTTTCTCAAATGGAAGCTACCCCTACTATTAAACAATGAGCTCACTGCTGATGTCTTCTGAAGAACTGACCTGAAATGAAACCTTCTAAGGTCAGTTCCATTCAGGACAATGTAATTGAAATGGCGTGTTACATTTTGATCATTCCCATATGACTGAGTCTCTTATTTTCTGCAGAAAACTGATTTTTACATTAAAAATAACCATTCACATGGAAAATTTCCAGGCAGCTCTATTTGCATCTTGTCTGTGTGACCGGAGGATCTGTGTTGGCATCAGAACTCTGTCAATCACTCTCATTACACTTCTTTTATTCAGTCATGAAATGCTGAACTGTATAATCAACTCATTCCGAACAGTATCTTCCCTTTTTCTCTGCACTTCATTTCCAAACTGATTTTTGTAGCTACCATCTTTAAAAGTCTGAAGATTGAAGTCAGTACCTGCAATTACATCTCTTAAATAGCAGCACACACACCTTCCTCATGTCAGGGCTGCACCATGTACCTGAAATTGCTGTTCACTCAAAAATACAGCTTTAAAAATGGGTAAAAGCTAATGTATGTTTTTCCCCTGCGTATTTTTGTTGTTATTTTTTTTTCTTTGTACTGAATAATTCAATTTTGGAAAAAAAATACTTTTGGCTCACTTGCACTTCGTGTTATTACAGAGCCTGTCAGTATTTCATGCTGTTTTTTAGTAAATCTTTTTTGTTTC